GAACAGTAAGCCCGAGAGCCACGGCCAAGGGCTACAAATCAACCAGCATGAAGAGTGATCAATCCACCAGCTTCCGTCGCAACATCTCGATGGCAGCTGGAATGCAAGACTGTCATACCTCCGCCACTGGTCCGGCACGCGCAGAAACGACAGAATGATACCAACCCAGCAGAAATCTCTGATCCTCCCCCCAAAAAAGCTCCAAACCAATAAAAAAAAAAAAAAAAAAAAAAAAAAAAAAATGCAACAAGCTCTCTTAGAGAGCTGAGGTACGCTAGAGCTCGCGCAATCGCTAGGGCAACAGCCAAGTTGAAAAAGTCGAAGGAGCACAGCAGTGAAAAAGACATTCGAGTGCAGAGGATAATGCCACACAGCTTTCGCGAAAAGACGAAGAAACGAGAAAAGACATCGCACCGCGACGGAGTAATTGCAATACTGGTCGCATGAAGACGGGAAACGCCGCGGCGCGGAGAAACAAGCGAAGAGAAGCAGGAGATCGTGAAGAGATGAAACCCTAAGTGGAGCGCATGGCCATGGCCATGGAAACACGGAGACGAAGGCAACTACCGAGTGAAGATGGAGTCGAGCTGCACTGTCTGTCTGTCTGTCTAGGGTTTGGATGACACACAGGGTTTGGATTATTTCATCCATCTATATCCACTGCCACGTCTTCATTTTTGGCGCGCTGCAGTCCCAGCACATTCTACTGTTGTTAAGAGCTGACACATCACGAGTATCAGTATGTGTAGTTTATTTATATTAATACAAAATATATACGGAATTTGTTCCTCCTTTTCATACATCATAGATTTTGTTTTTTTTTAAATGCGTGTGTATGGGTATGTATATAAGTGTGTAGAAGCATAAAGTGCATTACAGGTTACATTTTTGTCTTTTCACTTAAAACAATCGTTTTCACACTTTGTTTTTTGTTTTTTTTATTTGATGTTTTATTATCATTACATTTAAAATGTCTGAAAAACTGTATACATATGCTCACTAAAATGAGTTATAAAATAGCATAATTACAAATTTTATTTTTTGATTCTTTAACATATATATATATATATATATATACATAATGCATATGTGTTGTAATTTGTGAGGTTTGTATGAAAGTTATATACAATATGATTTACATATGTATCCCCAAAAAATAATAATAATAAAATAATAATGTAAGAATTGATTAATAAACTAAACTCACATATATTTTTATGTAATTTTTTTTTAAAAAAATGTGTTTTTTAAAATTTATTTTTGAAAAAATAAATAATAGAAAAATAATTGGAGTATTAAGTGGAAAGGTAAACAAACAATGTTGGATATGAAAAGGGTGGAAGCATATTTAGAGGGGCAAAGACATAAAGAGAAAAAAAGGGTGGAGAAGGTTGAAAGGGAATCTAGAAGGATAGAGAGGTTTGAGTTGATTCAGATTTAAAAAAAAAAAAAAAAAAAATACATTTTTAAACTCAAATCATTCTTGAAATCATATTTTTGATGCAATTATGCTGATAACATAATTTGAATATTTACATAGTGCAATTTATTCAATACATGTTTATGCAAGAAGATAAAATTTATGATTAGATATGGTTTTATATCACGTTTTAATAAATAATCTTTTTTTATAATCTTTTTAACATTCCAATATTTATAATTATAACTGTAATTTTTTATTATTGACTCCAGAATTTTAAAAAATGTTTTTAAAAAGAGAATGTTTGCATTAATGTTTGTAATATGATAATAAATAAATTTCATACAAATTTTATAACTGTTATTTATATTAATTTAAAGATATTTACATTTAATTTTAGATTATTTATAGACAATACTATTGTAAAAATGATTGTTTTGATTAATTTTGTTTTAACATGATTGTACCATCTACAAGAACAACAATTAACTATTATTGAAATATTGAGTTTAGTCCATAAATGTTTAATTCATCAAAAGTTTTTTTCATAATGTGGTATATATAATTTGAAGCTATAACTTTAGTTAGACATCTATTTGTTTGAGATAAATTTGGTATCAAAGTATAAAACTAATTGTAATATATCGTGAACATTTCAAAAAAAGCTTAACGTGTGCATGCACTTTAAATTCAAGAAAGTGACAAAAATCATCTAATTATACTAATTCATTGTCATTAAGTGAAGTCACTTAAGCAATATACAACTCTTACGAGACATCACAAACTTCAGTACTACGTAGAAAGCTGACACTACATTTCAACCACTTCACATCACCACCAATTGGCAACTAGCACTTCCTATGAATTGGTGGTATTACTGCTCAATCATAGTCCTTAAACCACAAGTATTACACACGATAAAATGTTTTTGATGGTGTTCTCGTAAATTAGAATGTGGAATTGCTGTTGATTGCAAATCAGAATGTTCATTTCATACTATTTGCATAGGTTCAAAATGAGACACAAGCTTTCGGCAGAAGGATCTATACATGTGCACTAATATTACAGCAAATCTGAAGATCAAACACCAGCTGCGTCTACCTCTTTGAGTGGGCTACTTTCTTGCTGTATAGGTTTCCAAGAAACATAAACTATGACAGCCAAAACTGTTACAATGGAATAGAAACCCAGACTAAATCTGCCGCTCAATAAACGGCCTGACAGCTGCAAAATCCCCTATCGTCTCGTTCGTTCACGAGCAAGTAATCCAATGCTCACAACAGAACTCCTGAGCCTGAATTCCAGATCTGAAGAGCCACGTCGCATTTTCTACTCCTCCATCGCATTCCCATCGTCCTCAGCATCAACACCCTCCTTAACATCAATGGTGAACTCATTTTCTTGGTCACAACCAAGATAAGCATCACACATAAAGAAAAGGGTATAGGTCTTCCTTCCCACTTCATTTGGTGCAGTAAAATCAAGCTTCACTTTTGATCTCCGCTGTAAAGAGACACGTTTAATTGCCAGCAACTGATTGCTCTTGGGTTCGCACACAACTAGCCACCAACCTTCCTCCTTTGGTTTCGGAAATCTGGGAGCATCCACAGGACTTAATTCTTGCCTTCCTTCCATCTCTCTTTCAAGTGTTACCTGAAGCGTGACAGTGTCGCCTGGAGAAATGTCATCATTATCTAGAACCTCGTGAGCAAGATCGATATTTGGGAAGCGATTGCAAACCCTAGCAATTTCCATCAACTGGGCATCACTCATCTGCAGAAGCTCTCTTCTTTCATCATCCTCCATTTCGACTAAATCGAAAACCGTCTGGATAGGTTTGTCTGGGTTGTCTGCGCACTTCTTTGCCAGGTCTTTCGTGAAGTATGGTAACTGAAGTAGATAAGAATCACGCTCCCACAAACCTTGAGTTACCATCTGACTAAGTTCCATAGCTGCCAAAGCAGGATGCAACCATCCAGAACTTGAAATCACATCAACCATAGCTTGAATCAATCGGCTTGCATCGATCAGAATATCTCTCTGATCCAGTGCAAGGTTACCACTCACGCTATGCCTCGCAAAATGAGCTTGCAGAAGAGCATTTGCCTTTACATGAGGATCAGTGAACTTTGGCTTGTCCATTGAGAAACGTTGATGCATGACCAACTTCCGGATTAACTCATCTTCTCCAGGCCTCATGGGTAGACGCGTATATTCTGAAGCATTGGAGAGGATCTCAAGAAGGCCCTTCAGCTTGGTCTTAGCCGTCAGTGAAGAACTGAACAGCTCAATAGTAGTATAGCTGATGTAGTAGTAGGCCGCAATCATTCCAAGATTCAAAGGTGAAAGGTCCATATCATCTTCTATCGCAACGCATTTGCTAGATTCCAGATCTGATAATGTGGATTCCACAAGCTCAGAGAGATGGTCTGACAAATGACGATGGCTTACACCTTGCAGATTGTAGTAGTTAGGGTTCTGCGTGAGCCGACGGTACATAAATGTCCACGTCAAGTAGTCCACAGCATCCTGCTTATTTTCGATTGTGCGCACAACTACTTCTGCATTCAAATGGTCATGCAGGTAGTGATCCAAATGGCTCTCCACAGGGAAAGGTTCATACAGAAACTTCTTGTAATACTCCTTCCGGGGAGCATGACAAAGAATCACACACTTCCCGGATGTGTCAACTTGCGGACGACTGGCTCGTCCCATCATTTGTAATAAATCAGTAATCGGGTAGTCTGTGTGAGCGTTCTCACGTCCATCATAAAATTGAGTTCCCATTACAACCACCAGATGAGCTGACAGAGTCATACCCCAGCACATACTACTGGTAGCAACACAAACCTGACAAGTTAAAAAGAAAACAACGCTAGATCAATACATAGTCATTCAAGCACCGAGACAAACATGCATGGTCTAGTAAGGTCACAAAAGGACATATCTAGAGCATAGCTATCCACGTTTGTAACTGAGCACATAAGTAAGCATATCTATCCCATGTTCACTCAATTAAACCAGGACAAAATCTCAAACAGATCATGACTTGGAAACTCTTCTAGATTAAAAGCATACCTGTATGGCCTCCGCAGTGAGCAAACTTGTTACCACTTCTTGCTCAATGGCAGACAAACCTTCGTGCAAATAACCAATACCCTGGAGCAGTGCGTGAATTAGGGCTTCGTCCTTCACCTTCGACAAGAAGGGAGCAAGATCTGCCTCAGCACAGTGTAAGAAAGGCGATTTCCCATTTCCGTTCACAGTGGCATAAGTAACCAAATCCAGGGCTGTTAAACGTGCGTGCTTCCGAGTAGGTACAAATATCAGAGCAGGTTCTTGCTTTTTAACGTGATGAACTATTGCAGTATAAGTTGGCTTTGTCATAGCTTGCATACGAGCTTCGAAATTCGCAATGTCTACACCCTGTATATGTATTTCTAGAGGAACTGGGCGAACACCAGGAGGGAAGTTGAACAACCCATGAGAACTGGCTCCAATCCAATCTCCCAGATCTTTAGCATTTGCTAGGGACGTTGACAGAGCAACAATACGGATTTGATTCTCTGTTTGGCTACCAATGTAACGCATGCGAGAGACAATCACCTCAAGAACAGGTCCACCTTCTCCACCGATGAGATGCAACTCGTCGACCACGAACAGACTCACCTGCATTCCAAGAGTAAACATCCCGATCAGTGAATTCACGTTAGCAGTTCAGCTGCATCAGAGATCTCCACTACATCTCCACATGCAAATCCACATCATGTTGAACATTGATATTACAAAACAATCAATTGTGAGCTCCTAACTGAAACCTGATTTGGGCCATAGCAAGAAGATCATCATACCTGTTGCACATGCTTCCTTTGCTTCCAACGACGAGAGAGAACATCCCACCTCTCCGGAGTGCTTATGATAATCTGACCTTTTTCCAACAGCTTCATGTCTGTAGCTGTCTCCCCAGTGAGCTCCACCACTCTCACTCCTAACGTTCTGCCAAACTTAGACTCCCAATCACGAAGTCGTTCCTTAGCAAGTGCTTCTACTGGTGCAATGTACACACAACGCCCACCAGCCTCCCCCTTCTGCAGCATACGCAGTACGGCAAATTCTGCACAAATGGTCTTTCCACTGCCAGTTGGAGCTGCCACCAGCACATTATCATCCGTGTTGTAAAGAACAGGGAACACCTGTGTTTGTATAGGATTGAAATGCCGAAACTTCTGATACAACACCTCGTATGAAGGATTGCGCAGCGCAGACACTGGAAGAGGCTGCAAGTCAAGAAGCTCCGTGGGTGGCGGGTACTTTTCCGGCAAAATGAGGTGCCGGAAAGAAACGGGTAGAACTGTCTCCGAGCCCAACCACCGGTCCGACACAACTCGCACAAAATACTGAGGCGGTAAAGGCTCGTAGATGGGAACCGTGAAGCTCAAATTGTGGTCTTCTTCAACGTACTGCATCTTTAGTAGGAAATACTCATGATGCAAAATATTCTCGCCGTCATTATCTTCAACGATGACCCAAAAAGACTCAACGTAACCATGATACTTTTCATCCCACTGAAAATCAGGGGTTATCGTCAGATCCACCTTCAGAACAGAGCGAGTGATAGGCTGTACATGGGCCGCCAGTTCTAGTTTGGGAAACTGATGGATATACCTGTGAATTGATTTGCCCATCTTCGGATACCGGATCAGTTCTCCGATCTCCTGGGACGATAAATCATAATAACGCTCCCATGGTAGGTCCTTCTTCTCGACCTTACTGAGAATGTCGTTTGGAATTCCCTTAAATTGGCGAAGCGGAGTTTGACTGCTCCACATTCGCCTACTCACCATCTTGCAGAGAGTGAGAGCTTTCTCAGCTAGTTGTGCCCAACCGCGCTTTAACACTATCTCAAAAAGAGCTCTCATCAACCGTCCGGCACTCTGGGTAATAAAAACCATGTCCGATGTTAGAGACAAGCCTTCCAATTTCAGCTGTGAGATATATGCTTGTAGCAGCACATTGATCTTTGCGCTGGGCTCCTCCAAACTCTCTTTCACTGGAATAGGCACCCGATCCAACAGCTTCGCAAGCTCCATTTTTTCCTCCTCCCGAACAGTGACGAATTTAAATTCTTCGGAAAGCGAGAATAGGCGGCACAATTCAATGTCCCCCATTGTTGGCTTTAAGTGCTCGTTATAAGTAGCCATAGAACCATGTGAGATGTAGTAATAACTAGCAATACGTCCAAGATCAGTGACCTGAAAGTATCCGCTCTTCCTGTCGTACTTCACTAAGTTATTCCTATCCAATACAATTGCTGCAGAGTGCACCTGCAAATAAAAACATCAAAAGTTCAGGAGGGCGATATTTGCTACAGAAGACATATCATGATACTAGAAACAGAGAATGCAGATGACATGATGATCCACAGACTTGCTACCAGTGTAAGGCCAAGACAACCACAGCGTAACCAGTCTCGAAGAATAAGGCAGAGAAAAACCACAACGCATTCTGCACTGAAAGTACTGATAGTAAAATAAAATCAAGGGCGGAGTGAATTCACGTACAAGGTCTGCTCGTCGCTCTTCCAATGAAGGGTCAGCCTCAAGAGCCTCACGACTCACCCCGTAAAGGGTTGGATTCTTCAGCATTCGAATGTATAAGTAGGTGTATCCTAGCCAGTCACAAGCCTCACGTGCATCCTGCACACTGCCTAACACAATCTCTGCGTTGAGATTGTCCGCCAGTTTCGATATGTACTGACTCTCGATAGGAAGCTGTTGGTTCATCAATGATAGATAGTACTGAAGCTCACTGTGTCCAGTAATAATAATACCCTCCCCGTAAGTGTCAAATTGTGGCCGACCAGCTCTCCCCAACATTTGCATTACATCCAGCGGACTTAGCTCGGTCCAGGCACCTTTTTCAGGATTGTAAATCTGAGTTCCCTTTATAATCACGGTATGTGCCGGGAGATTGACGCCCCAGGCAAGGGTGGCGGTAGAGACCAACACCTGTATGTGGCCATCCCCAAATAGATCCTCCACTAGCGTCCGATCGGCCCTGCCCATACCTGCATGATGAATAGCGAAACCATAAGGGAGTAGATTCTTCAAATCATTGTTCTTTACCACATCATTTTCCTTCTGAAGAATTTCCCGACTAGCACCGTCTTCCTTCAAGAATCGTCCCAGCGTATCGTTCGCCAAAGCAGCATCTCTTATTGCACGAGCTGTCTTCGCTGTTTCCTTCCTGGAATGAACGAATATCAGAACCTGGTGTTTTCCAGCTACCTCCATTACTTTCTCATAACAGATATCGTTCATCAGCTGGAACCGTTGTAGAGGCTTCCGAACCGTGACTCCGATGTACTGTTGCGCCAGGGGACACGGCCGATAGCTGTTGTCAAAATAAAACAATCCTTTCTTTTCGTCCACTTTCAGAAACAACGCCACATCCTCGTAATTTGGCAGCGTGGCTGATAATCCCACCAATCGAATCATCTCTTGGGTGGTTTCAATCTGCCTCACCGTTCGAGCTACTATGCTCTCAAGCACAGGACCACGATTGTCATGCAGAAGATGGATCTCATCAATAATCAGAAGCTTTACCATCTGAGTATAAGTCCGGTCCCCGGACTTCCTCGTAATGATATCCCACTTCTCAGGTGTAGTGACGATAATCTGAGTTTCCTCGATTTGCCCTCGCGAGAGAGTGGCATCTCCAGTCAGTTCCCTCACGGTAACTCCATATGGCTCTAAGCGCTCGGAGAAATTACCCACCATCTCCGCGACAAGAGCCTTCATAGGTGCTACATACACAATTTTGAATGAACTGAGGTCAAAAGTGCCATCTAGCTGCTTTCTCAAACCAAGTTCGTGTAAAATGGTGAGCATAGCCACATTGGTCTTCCCAGCACCAGTCGGAGCACACAAAAGAAGATTCTCAGACGTAAATAGGGCAGTTTCGTAGACTTTGCTCTGAACTCTATTCAAGGACTTCATGCCTTTGAACGCTGGTTGGGCCCAATCAGGCATATCACTGATTTTCACGAGCTCTTCCCCCTCCGCAAACGGTTTTGGTTTCAAATGAGGAACGTGCACTTCTTCATACCCCTTCTTAGGGGTTCGATAGGACAGGGGAGGTAGCTCGCACCTGAAGTCAATAACCACAAGTGTATAGCGTCAGAAGATGTTTTCCCGAGTGCACGGAATTGTACATTTTTACCAATGCAATGCGTAACATAGCACAATAGTGCGTGAGAATGTCCTCTACTCCCGACTAGAAAAAACTAAGAAACTCAACTTCCACTATTGATACCATCCCGATTCGTAAGTATCACAAATGTGCAGAATCTTTGAATTCAAAGCCACACTCAAAAGAAGTATTAAGCGCAATCCTTTTGGTACCCTTTGATGGCCCAAGGTACTCGGGAGGCGTACCTCTTGTTTGCCATCAATAACCCTCCTTGGTGGAATGTCAGCTGCTCTAGGTCTAGTAATTGCCGCTGCCCCTTGAGCCATCCACTCTCGCCTCCACCGACACCGACTTCTCTGTCCTTCCTTCGACCTCTGTCTGCAGCTTCACCGCCATCGTCCCTCAACTTCTTGGCCTCCTCTCTGATGCTACGTTCTAAATTCTTCTGACGTTCCTTCGCAGTTGCCCTGGTAGCATGCAGCTGCTCAAGTATACCTGCCAAAACGGGACCTCCGTTGCTCATCTCTTCCTCTATCTTTTTCCTTGCATCTTCATCCTCTGCTCTCGCAAGTCGAGTACACCAAACGACTTTGAGACGATTTCGAAGCAAGAGCTTGATCAAATCAAATTTGTCATAGTCCAGAAGTATAACCAAACGATTTTCTACTTCGCGGTCATCTCCCTCTGCCAATTTGCTCAAAACATCCTCCGCAAGTTTCTGGCTTTGCTGGGGATCGATGTCCCCATGTGCCTGCGAGATTTTCCTCTGCAGCCAGTAAGCATCTATGTCTTGCACATTTAACCCTTCATCCGCTTCTTCCATATCCTCGTCATCCTGCCCGCCCATTTGCATAGCCGATGCTTGACGGGTATCCTGACCATCTCCCTCTTCACCATCACTCTCTTCTTGCACCTCGTCATAGTCGCTCTCATCCTCTTCTTCTTCCTCCTCGAATTCTACAGCTACTCCGATATCATCGTCCAGAGCTTCTCCTGCCCCTTCCGCTCCAGCATCCCCTCCCTCCGAGTAATCACTAATAAGTTTGCCGATAGCAACCAGCTGAGCGAACCGCTCATTCGACATAGAGTTCAACAACTTTTCAATTTCCTTCTTTTTATCCAGATCCCTGAACCTATCATTCTTCAATACCCCAAGCACTTCATCTGCCGCCCCTCGCAAAATATCCTGCGGCTGATCCCCAAACTGCTGCTGAATTGTACTCAACAAAGCCTCATACGCAGCCCTCGTCTCCTTCGTTTTCGGCCGATACATCCCATCGTCCACAATGGACAGAACGCTCTCCTCTTGCATCCCACGCAACCGCTTCCTCGCCTTCTTCAGTCCTTCCGCATTACTCCCCTTCTCCTTCTCTTTCACTTCCCTCTTCCGCCTATGCTTCGTCAGCTTCTCCTCCAAATCATTAGCACGACCATGATACACTCGATCCCCAAACGACCTCGGATCAATCCTGCCATATAAACTCTCCGGCTCTCCAGTTGGCTCGTGCGTGTCCCGAGGCCGAGTATCCGTCGTCAACACCAAACTCGAATTAGCCCTGTACTCATACTGCTTGAACCGCGCGTGCGCTTCCGCGCCTCCTCCGAGATGTGCCATGGCTCCTCAAACCCCTCACCAACTAAATAATCCTACAAAAAAATATATATTCTGAAAAATCAAAACAAACAAAAACAAAAATATACAAACACCTGAAAACCTAAGCACGAGGATCACTTCATCCACTACAGTGAAGAAAAGAACAGCCAGAGCAACAAAACCCTGGGAGAAAAAACAGAGATACAATGCGGGACAGCAGACCTAGAAGAGAATGAAGAGACGAAGGGAGGGGGACATTGAAGCGGTGGAGAAGACCCTCCGGACAGCCGTCGCGATGGGAGTAGAAACAGCAACACCCCCGCAGCGTTGTCTCTCAAAGGAAAGGGGCTCGACGAGGACGAGGACGATACTAGGGTTTGAGGGGGAGGGGAGGTTTAGGCGGTGGGGAAGAGTGCTGTCCACGTCGTCACCTCCTCCGCGCCTCCATTCTCTGTTTTTAAACCCATCGCGCTCTTTTATTTCCTTCCTTCTCCCTCCCCCGCCTTCTCGTGTTATGTGTTTTTTTTAGGTTCACCTAATGTGATTTGCAAAAGATGATTATACATACCAGTGGAAATTTGTGCTGTTGGCCACAAAAAAGTTGTAAAAATTTAACTTGTGGTTGCTAAGTCAAAAATTCTTTTATCTCACCCATGCATGGAATCATATACTTGAGGTAGATGAGAATCAACTCTAAACCCAAATTTCCAAAACTCGTGCTCTAATTGATTGATCAGATTTAGGGTGCATAGAAATTTCCTAGCATTGCATTGAGAGATACATATTTGAAATAATTGATGATACTGTCAATTTTAGAAATGACTAAAATTCCATTGTAATTGTCAAATAGGCCACAAAAAAAGTGTAAAAGTTTGATTTGTAATTTCTAAGTAAAAAATTGACTATTCCTAAAAAAATGTTAACCAAGAAAAGAACAAAAAAAAAAAAAAACAAAACAAAAACAAATAAATAATATATACATAACAATAGAACTATTTATGTTTCTACAATGTAATTAAAACACATGATTTCTCTTTAATATGTCTTAAATAGCTAAGTTAAAAGAACTTTGGAATAAAATACACTTATAATGGTGTTTTTATCTTTATTGTTTTTAGGATATAATATCTTGATAATATTTAACAAAGTCTTGTTGAGTATGGAAAAGTATTCATGTGTGTTCTTATGAGTTTCTATGGATTCTTGTGCATTCATAAGAGTTCTTTAGATTGCCATGCATTACCTCGCATTCCTTCAGTTCCTATGAGTTTTTATGCATTCTCTAGATTCTTGTTAAATATAACTAACTACTTTTAAAATATGTATTATCAATAATCTATTGTTTAAAATTTGTATGTTTATTGATTCATTGCTCAAAATCAGTCTTATCATTAATGACTTATAAAATATGTCTTATTATTAGTTCATTGTTCAAAATCAAATAGAATTTATTTTTAAATTTTATTAAAGATGGTAATTTTTTTTATAAATTAATTTGATATTGTAAATACCAATGATATGGGTATTTTAAGTAAAATTTGTTTTTATTTTTTTAATATTAAATTAAAATTTATAATTAAGTTTATTTTATTATTATTTTAAATATATGATATTAAAAAAAATATTATATCAAATTTTCACAACATACAATAATATTATATGATGAACTAATGTTTTTTTTTTTGTTATTTTTTATGTTTTAAGGTTAATAAATTTTAAAAATACAATGATTATAATCCAAAAAAAATTAAAAACGATTTTTTTAAAGTTTAAAATATATAGATTTTTTTTTTTAATATAGTTATTTGTTTTCAACTCTCAAATTCATACATAATGTTTCTTTTAAGTAAGTTCTCTTTGATTTTCTTCCTAAAATCTCTTGTTGGAATAAAAACAAACAAATGGTAGAACAAATAAATTCATTAGTTTTATCAAATAATAATTTCAATTTCTTGTATTATACAACTTATTAGGAAGCTCTTTGATGCATCCAATCGCTATACAAATCTTGCAACTCAACCCTTTATTCCTTCTTTACATCCATTTGGTGTTCAAAGAATAGATAATCTAAGTATGCATCAAATTTTTAGATGAATAATATGTTGGTCTCTTCCCACAATTCTATGTATGTTAGGTCAATCTTTTCTAAAAAAAATAGGGACTACAAATTGTCTTGAAATAGGTTCACTTGAATGATCTTCCCTCACTTACTCCATTGCATGTTACTCTAATCCATGCTACCTCTTAGGCAACCACTCACCAAACCTCATAACTAAACACTTTCATTCTGCAAATCCATACTAAAAAACTCATATTTGATTGTTGTTATACTTAATCAATAGATCATTTTATGTTTAGATTATGTAATTCTTATTGTTATTCTTGTCCATATACTACTCTGCTACAAATCCTACACTCCTCCACAAACACCCTAATCATGATATTCTATTTCTTGCATACTTTCATCTCTCTTCCTACTGCCCATTGCAATACACACATGAAATTCTAATGTTTTTTGCCCCAACACACAACATATGTATAGGACTTTGAAATTAAGTTAGCCACACAACTACCATATGAATTATAAATCTCAAATATGATACTAACATCTATACAACCTACCATGCAATGTCAATCATCAAACCACAAACTGATGTATTACAAAGATCAACCATCACAAATTCTAAAATAAAAAATTGTTTGCAAAATCCATCCACAATACAAAACAAACACACATTCTATTGTCAAAAACCATTTTAAGACAACTATTGCAACATAATATTTATCTCAACAATTGCCTCACAACTCAATATTCTACTTTCTAACAAACTAATTTATACTTGACTCTCTCTCTTTCTCTCTTTCTCTCCCTCCATGTACATTCCAAGGACCACTTTATGCTCTATTTGAGGCTCACAAATACACAATTATTAGTCACCTCATCAAAACCTACACATTACATCCAAGTATATCTATCCCATACATTTTGGACTTCTGACATCCCACACATTCTGATGTCAAATCACATTTTGGATCCTCATTGACTATGATTTATCCATCTTGAGGATAAAGGGTAGATTCCAAATGATCAAGAAATTGACTCAGTTAGATTTTTTATACATTGAAACTCATGCATAATCTTAGGCATCTTGTTTATTTTTGAAAGACAAAAGCAATTGCATAGATATAACTAATTCTTTCAAAATTATAAATTGTATCTTGTGCATTAACTTGCGATGAGAAGAATGTCCCACTTGGCTTCTCTATCCTAAATACATTTGCATAATGCATATTAGTTTTGGAAGTTGTCATTGTTGATATTTAAATCTAGAATATATTCTTAACATTTAAAATTCTATGATCTAATACTTCCACCTACAAGGAATCTAAAGACATTGTCTTTTACGCCAATTTTGTTGCACAACCTCAATTCTTTCACCTCTACAATCATCTCCAATATACTACTACTTGCAAAAACTCTTGTATTGCATCAAATCATGGGACTTTAACTACACAATGGATCCTATGCTTTAAGGTATTTAAAACAATTTACAATACAATCTAAGCAACCATCAAAAGTGATGAAGAGAGCAATGACAAGGCAAAAGTAGGACACAAATGCACATCCAAGAGAGGGAGAGAATGTATCTTATGCAACAAATAGTTTTTCCAACAAAGAATAATTATTAAGAAATCTTCACAATTTTAACAACTTTGTTTTTAAAAATCCTCACAATTACAACCATTCCATGTGTTCTTGTGTTCTTTAAGTTCCCTTCTTATCAATCAATCATAATGCATTTTTTTCTCTTTATCTTATATCCAAGCTATTTTATAATATATATTAAATATATTTTATTTATAATTATAATAAATTATTATATATGTATTTAGGAATTGTTTTATATTTATTTAGAAGTTGATAATATATATATATATATATATATATAATCAAATTATTATATTCAAGTTGCTAATTTTTTATTATTAAAGTAATTTATTCCAATTTAATGTTTATTGTGGTGATTCAATTATCATTCATAAATATGTGGTGTTTTAAGTAAAATTGCACTTATTTTTATAAAACAATATACATAATATTAGGTAATATATATTTTGTATTATGTATAAGATTCTATAATAAATATCTATTTCTTGTTGCATATTCATATAACATAGCTTTAAAAGTAAGAAGAATTTAAAAATTCAAAAATCCAAGAATCAATATTATTATCTTTTGATTATACACTAATTTTCTTATTGTATTATTTCTTCTATAAAATTTTTTTGCAAAGTTTTATAAAAAATATGTTGTATTAATAATATATTGTTCTATAGTTAAACATACTATTTAAATAATAGCATGCAGTAAAGATTGTAATTAACACAAATCTACAACACCATGTGTGTATAATTCTTTTACATTTAGCAACATATATATATATATATATATATATGCATAGCAATATTGTGTCTGTCGGAACGTGTGTTTGAAATCCAAAGCTTATTACAAAGTTGTTTATGTATATTTGTATATGTGCATTTAATTATACATACAATATTAGTAAAAATTTATAAAAAATTACTATTAAAATTGCCAGCTTCAAACAATGACTGTAAAAATCATGTTTTCTGGTCACACATAATTAAAATATTAAAATCAAGTTGTATACTCATGTTTCAAATTTTAATTGGTGTACAAGACTATTTTTTAATATTATAAAGATATTTTTTTAGAATTATATTGTAATCAATTCAAAAACAAGATCACAAGACAAGGTTTAGGGTTTAGGGTTTAAAATTAGAAATAATGTTAAAAATTGTACTATGCTTATCTTTCAGCTCTCTGCACATTTTTAGCAAAAATATTTTTAAAAAATTAATATATATTCATAGGGAGAGAGAAAGCATTGATATGATGTCTTGGCCAAGTAGGACATGACAAATGGTAAATCCTATCCCAAATATTGTTTCATATTTTCAATTAATTAAAAAAAGCATAAAAAACTTGAACCTAGAAATGGTTCATCATTGAATGAAAAAAAAAAAAAAAAAAAAAAAAAAAAAATCATAATATGAAAACCCAATTTCTAACAATTCCAAGAATAGCCTCAAAGTATAGATATATTGAAAGAGAGAGATAAAAACTCCACTTCTGGGATTGAGATGGCCCCCTACTAATTGAGACCCATACCCCCAGTGGAAGGCCGTGCCTCGGGAGTTTCAAAGCCCGGGCGGAGCGAACGATGAGAAGCCAATTGAGACAGAGAGAGTGAGAGTTCTTCTTCTTCTTCAAGCTGTTTCGAATCAGGGTTACGAGCAATCGAGGAGCCATGGCGGGTGCGCTCGTCAGGAAGGTTGGCACGCACTCCTGCCCTCGCGCTGTGCGCGCCTGTGTAGCCGCATTGCAGGCGGAGGGTCATTTTCTTCGCGATCAGGCCAATTTGGGATTCGGAAATGCTGCCGTGCGTCATTCTTCGTCGTTGGCGGTGTCGGGGAGTCACCGGCCTGTTAAAAGGGGTACTGGGGGTAGATCGTCCGTGAGGTGGGAGTGATTTTAGTGCTCGATTGTCTTTGGCCTTTGGTTTTCGGTTAGGATTGTTCATTTCGTTGCTCTGTGAGGCGGATCTTACTTGAATTTCTGGTTGTGGATTGAAACTGAAGTGTTGCAATTGTGACAGCACTTAGATACTGTCGTGGGAATTGTTGCAGTGGTGTTGTTGCCACAGTATTTGGAGCTACTGGATTTTTAGGTCGTTATGTGATTCAGCAACTTGGTGAGTGCCCATTCTGACGATGTTTTGGTCAAGCTGGGATGAATGTCCTAAGTGCCGCGCCCGAACATATTATATTTTATTGTGCAATACTGAACAATCGGAGTATAATACAAGCAGCGAGATTCACCATGGAAAATGTATGGGAAG